AGGAGTGAGAAAGGAGAGCACTGAGCTGTGGGAAATACCCTCGCCAAGCACTCACTAGGAGCTTACACAAAAACCCAGCTAGATGACGTTGAGGAGAGCCACTGCGAACCCCCAGGCAGTGTCCAGGAGGAGGCAGAAAGAGGGTATTATGGTCGACATTTCCCTCATTTCCCCAGGATTTCTGGGGCTGTCAAGAGCTACGTGCCTGTGCCACCGCTCAGTTCAGTTCCCGATGGTGTGGAGGGTCATCGGTAATGAAAACAACACAACCCATCAGCCTAGGAGCCAGATGGGTGTTGAGGGAGGGCAAAAGAAAGAGGGATGAGAGTCTATCAAGGGTGCAGCGAGGATAATGGGTGCTTGTCCAGCTTAAAGCCAGCACCTACAGGGAGAGCAGTGCCATGGCCTGCCCAGGAGGACACCGTCCATTCCACACCCCACCCACCACCAAGCGCTCTTGTGTTCACAGTATGCATTTTTAAGTCAACCATATTCATTCTGGAAAGCTACAGGGGCCTTGGGACGTCTTGAAGCACAGTTGCCAAACCTCTTACTTTTATATCCAGTGGGATATCCAGGAAGGCCTCGTAGGAATCAGAGACCGTGTTGCAGCTCAAGCACCTGACTGGAAGGCAAATCAAAATGGTCGGTGGTAGGGGAAGTCAGCGTAAGAACTCATGGGCATATTCCTGCATGCCAGGATCAGAATGTTCTCCTATTCCTAAGAAAGAAGAAGTTATTAGTTCTCTTCTACAAGAATGGAAAAAATACTGTAAGAGCACCTGAAATGACTGACGTGTGAGAACACTGATGCAGCCCAAGGCTTGGCGGCACTGCCTGAGGAATACCTGACCTTGCTAATGTGTGCCTCCATTGTGCACATCATGCAGAAGCCTTGCTGGTGACCTGCAGAGGGAGGGAGGGAGGGAGGGAGGGAGGGAGGGAGGGAGGGAGGGAGGGAGGGAGGGAGGGAGGGAGGGAGGGAGGGAGGGAGGGAGGGAGGGAGGGAGGGAGGGAGGGAGGGAGGGAGGGAGGGAGGGAGGGAGGGAGGGAGGGAAGGAAGCTTCTCAAGTTAGCAAAATACCCATAGCCATGGGAAACCTGATGGGGATCTTGAAGTTATAAGAACAGTCTCCACTCCTCTTCTCCCAAGGTGCCAGTGTCCCAACAAGGCCAGGACATTTTAGTGCATAGAAAACATTCTTCAGAGGGACACTAAACTGACATAATTTTCTGTGCAATAAGCAAAGAGTTTGACTTGAAGGAATAGGGACCAAGACCCGGGGCTAGGAAGAGGTGCCTTTCTGAAGATGAACACACCTAGATAACACAAGCGGCTTCTCGGCTTCAGTGTTCCAAGAACACCCACTATAGGATTGACAAATGTTGTGGTTTAGGCCTGGTTGGCAGCCAACCACAATGCAGCAGCTCTCTCTCCCTTCCCCTCTGGCAATGAGAAGGGACAGAGAGCCAGGCTTGGGGTTCGAGATAGGACTGGGATGGGGAAAAATCCCCCTTTTATGATCACGAGCAAAAGGCAGACTCGTTAGGGGAAGAAAAAAAAGAACATACATTTATTACAGACACTAACAACACATAACAGAGTAAGACAGTGAGAAGCATTGCCACATCTTGAGAACACCTTCCCCCCACCCCTCCCTTCTTCCCGGGCTCAGCTCTGCTCCCGATATCTCTACCTCCTCCCCCAGTGGCGCAGGGGCAGGGAATGGGGGGTGCAGTCAGCGCTGCCACTTTCCTTCATCTTTGGTGAGGGGAGTGTCCGAAACTTGTTCCTCCTGCTCCATCGTGGTCCCCCTCTCACAGAGACAGTCCTCCACAAACTTTCTCCAACTTGAATTCCTCCCATGGGCCGCAGCGTTCCCCACACTGCTCCGTCATGGGTCACTAACTTCCTCCGACTGGATTCTCTCCCACGGCTGCAGCCCTTCCCGAGCTGCTCCGGCGTGGGACTCCCCCGCATGCTGCAATCCTCCCAGCACTGAATTACAGCAGTGGGGCTGCCTTTTCCCATGAGACCCCGGCCTTCTTCGGGCACAGAACCTTGATCAGGCGAGCAGGAGCAACAGGCCATAAATCAAGTGTCTGCTCAACCGTAGATCTTCATGGGTGGCAGGGGGGCAGCCGCCCTGCCGTCTCACCACAGGATACAGGGGGGTCTCTGCTCCGGCACACCTCCCCCCTCCTTTCTTCCTCCGTTCCTCCACTGACCTTGGTGTTCACGCAGCTGCAGCAACTCCTCCTCACAAGTCCCACTGCCCGTCACCACGTCCCTTCTTAAATACGTTATCGCAGAGGTGCAGCCGATTGGCTCAATTTCCCAAACAGAAGTGGAGCTGGCTTGGAGCTGGGGGAGCTTCGAGAAGCTTCTCCCAGGGGGCCGCCCCAATAGCCCCTCCCCTGCCACCAAAAAACTCCACCACTCACTCAACCCAGGACAAAGGGTAAATGGAGATCTACTCCACGGGGACCTCCCTCGCTGACCCTCGTGCCCCGATACAAAGTTCGACCCAGAACCCGTGAGTTCCTGAGCTTGCTGCCGTTACGACCCAGACAAGTGTGCTACTGACCTCTATTTATTGCTACTACCACTATTCTGAAATAAACGGTCGATCCCTGGCGCTGTGGGTCAGGAGTCTGTCAGGAGGGCTGGGGCAATGGGCTCGGGGGACGGGGGGGTGGTTTCAATTCTTCCGGGGGCTGGAGGGTGCTGGGCTGGTCCCACAACAGCTCGCCGGCTGTCGGACGGACATGGAGGCCGGGGTGGAGGTGGGCGGGCCAGGCATCTGTCCGGGCTGGCGAGGGCCGGTCCCCTGGAGCGCTGTGCCAGGCCGGCCAGTTCTCCAGGCAGAGGTGACGGCCGCTGGTGTCGGGTCCAGCTCTCAGGGGTGCCGGGGTGGGCCGTCCGGACGGCTGTCCGGGCGCGAGGGATGGCTGCTGGGGTTGGGCTAGGCTCCTGAAGCTGCGGAGGGGCGCCTGTGGAGAGAGGAGACTGCTGAGGCCCCGCGGCGGCTGCGGTGCCGGGTGGGTGCCAGGGTGCGGGGCAGCGTGGGCACCCCACGGGTCGTGGGCACCCGGCTGCACGTGGGAGCTGTGGGCACAGAGAGCTCTGTGCAGAAAACAGGGGTGCCCTGCGCCCCTCGGCTGGGGCTCTGCTCGCCTCCCCACGGCTCATCTCCTCTCGGCCCTGAGCAGCCTGACCTGCCTGCTCTGCACGTGCCGCCAAGGGCACTTGACCCCGGCAGAGCGAGGGGCCCAGAGCTGGGCACGGCACTGCAGGGCCAGGAGAGCCTCCTGTTCTCCTTTCTCGGCGTGCCTGCCAGAGACCAGCACTCGGCTCCCGTGCCCGTCCCTGCCCAGACAAGGGGACAGCCTTGTCTGTCGGAGCGTTTGGCCGGTAACTATCTCGGCACGCCAGAATACCTGGCCTCTAGATGCTTCGTGGCTAATAGCAGCCATCTGACACACAAGTTTGGCAACACTCACTGTTTTCGCTTCCTCCACAGGTGGAACACACAACAAAACACCATCCCAAGCAGCATGGAGCCCAGGACTGCCACGGCACCCTCCACGCAGTACTCCATGAAGTTTCCATGACCCGCAGCATTTGCATTTGTCTTGCCACCCACACCTGGAGGAACAATGCTCTACGTTAGCGTGTCCCGCACGCTACTGGTGATCTCACAGGAGGTCTGACGTTGCCAGGAAATGTTCCTTCGCACTTGCTTGGCCTCCCTGAACCGATGAACGTCCTGGGGCTGCACCGTTTCCTTGGTTTCGGTAGAAGCCAAGGAAACTCCCAAGGCCGTTGCAAATCAACGCGCTCTGGAGCCTCTCTTTCTGCTCTCAGCTTTGCTTGCACTCTGGGGTGGCCGTAACCCAGTTTTCGCAGTGTCCCCGGTCTGCTCCCCCTTCTCGGTCACCTTCCGCATTTGCGCACAATTTCTGCTGCGCTCGCCCACCTCCACTCTCCGAGGCTCGCTGCTAGTGCTGCTGCATGGAGGCTCTCCCTGGCCCTCTGGGACAACTTGTCCCACTGAACTGAACTCATGAGGCCAAATGGAGAGCACGTCGGGGAGCACAGCTCCCGTTGGACCGATCGACCCTTTGAGTGAGATGGACAAAAGCCATCCCTGCCTCAGGGAGTGCCACCCCCAGCTCTCATTCCCCAGCTCCGCACCCACACCCTGAGGGGACAGAGTCAGGCCCTCTCGGGAGACACCTGAACCTCGCCCTCTCTCTTCGCCTTCCCTCCAGCATGGGCCCTGCTTGCACACCGCCGCTTTTGGGGACGCGTCTCCCACTTATGGCCCCCTGCCAGACGGCTCAGTACCTGGACTGCTTCGAAAAACTTCATATATCCTGGCGCGGTGGGCGTTCCCGGGCTTGGACAGAACTGCATAGAAACCAGAGAAAGGGAAAGCCTCAGAGAATTGGGGACGCGTCTCCCACTTATGGCCCCCTGCCAGATGGCTCAGTACCTGGACTGCTTCGAAAAAATCCATATATCCTGGCGTGGTGGGCGTTCCCGGGCTTGGACAGAACTGCATAGAAACCAGAGAAAGGGAAAGCCTCAGAGAAAGGCAAAACCTCAGAGAAAGGGAAATGGCTCAGGCGCAGAGGTTGCAGGAGGATGGTGGAGGTTTCCCCAAAGCCTGTGCCCGACATGTCAGTGCATCCCTTTGGACCTCAGGTCACAGGAGGGATCCCCCGCTGCCGTGCCTGGGGCCTCTAGGGACCCAGGGCAAGCTCTGGCCTGCAGCTATTGCAGGGGGGTACGTTCCATTAAGAGTCGCATTTCCCATCATCTGCTGAGCGTGGCTCAGATGGTCTTGTTCCCCAAATGACTAAGTTCTGAAAGTCCTGTCAGCGGGGTGTGGTGGGAGGTGAGCATCTCTCTGCATCCACGGAGGGTTACGAGGGAGCATCTCCCCGGCGCGCTGACGGCAAGCGCCTCCACAGCCCAGAGGTGACCGGCATCCTCAGAGAGCCGGTCCTGGCTGCTGCTTTTGAAGCACTCGCTCTGTACCACCAACTCTTCTGGGTTGTGCTGCCGACAGGACGCGCGGTAGAGGGCACTGGGGGAAGAGCCTGAAGACACGGAGTGATTTTGATGCGTGGTGCTGGAGGATCAAAGGACGGCAATTACCTGGGAGGCCTGTTGACTGAATTGCCCCCGTTTTTGCATCAGACACTCTCACTGCCTGACTGCGTCCTCCCCGAAACGCCTCGTTCTCCACAGTCTCTTGGTCCGTCTCTTTAGAAAGAAAGAAGGACAATTGAATTAGAAGTAACCGTTCCTCATCAGGAACACAGTATCTCCAGGAGGCCATACTTCTCAACATCCCTTCATGACGCTTAGAAACAAAGCCGGGACATTTGGGGGTGTACCTAGTGCCTAGTCCCAATGACATGTCATTCATGGAGGACAATTTAAGCACTAGACCCTTTCCACTTTAACCAGCAGACAGAAAATCCTGACCTGCTGGGAGACTAGGAGGTTGCACGTGAGCTTGTTCGCATTCCACTTAGTGCATTTTTGGCAAACGGCAAGATGATGGTAAATGACAGAATCTGTCAGAGGGGACAGGAAGATGCTGTAGCCAGTTCAGCTGGGGAAAGAGCCCTTCTGAGAAGCACTTCCCATCGTGTCAACTCCATCCCACGGTCAGGGTAACAGACACGCATGGTGGACTGAAGCGCCAGCTCTTGCAACCATACTCTGGGCATTTTCACAAGTGGCACTGACGAGCCCGCAGTGCCCCGAAACAAGAGGACAACCACAACCGACCGATCCAAAGCACGACTAGACGCAGGCGCAGCTAAACCAACCGAGACTGAATTCACAGCCCTTCATTTGAGCTGCCTTCAAGTTTGGCGTCTGGCCTCAAGCTGGGTGTCCAGCTTGTACCTTTCCCTGGCACTGAGGTGTCACCAACCGTCCTCAGGCATCAAGAACGACGAGGCTAGACCGGGTTGTGAAGGTGGGGCTTCTCCGACCCTGGCCAGGGCACGCCTGCAGCCCTGGCAGTGTCCGCTGCTCTCAGCTACCCCAAGCTGCCTGCGCATCCTCTCCGCAGCCCAAGGGCACTCTCCCCTCGGGTGGGTGACCGGCAGGGTGCTGGCCCTCTCATGACTTGTCAGGAACCAGCTCCTTGGCAAGTCTGTCACACATTCCAGGCGTGAGGAGCACCAGTTCCTGCCAGCTGGGTACCAAGGTCTGCCCAGAACAGCTCTGACCCCGGTAAGGCTCTAACCGGGGCAGCAGCTGGTCCTGGCACTCGGTTTGAACCGCGACTGGCAGCAGAGAGTCAGGCATCTCTGCAGCTCGCCAGCGCCTGCAAGGCGTGAAACTGAGTGTGGCCGCAGTGAGGCTCTGAGCGACCCCCTCCTCCTGCTGTGCAGGCTACGGCTTGTCCATCCACGCCCCCAACACCTCCGCTTCCCACGGCTTCTGGTGAAGAGCAATCATCTCCACCCACCATGTGCTGCTTTGTCCAGTTCCTTCAGGACTCCCTCTAGGACTTCTGATGACCGCGGGGAAGATTTTTCCATTTCCGCTCTGTACTTGGCTCTCGGAGGACCTGAACGGAAAGCACAAAGTTAAATTTCTGGCAAATAGACTACTGGGAATGAGTGCTTAGTCTGTGGTCAGTCGAGACTGACCACTCACCCCTGCGATGCCAGGTGAGCTCCAGCGCAAGATCCAGCCGAGAAGCGGGAAGAGCCCTCCCTGCACCCACATCTGCAACCAAACACCCACGAGAAGTTTCCGTCACGCGCTGGGATACAATACACTGACACAGCTGAATAGCAGAACATAGAAGGGCATCACGTAACGACCTGGCACACACAGTGCAGGTCGTCTGCATTCTCACACCCGCAAGAGATGCCTCGCTCACATTTGGCCTTTGAGCTGGCAGCTCCCAAGGGAAGCAAGAAGCCGGGACGTACCCACGCGATCTCCCTGAGCGTCAGCCCTGGAAGCCGGCTGGGAAGCTGGGTAGCCATCGCCTCCAGCCACGTCTGTAAACAAAGAGAACCGAGAGGCTCCCATGAACTGTATTTCACTATACAAAACAATACAGGGGCGTGAAGGCAGTTCAAACAGGGGATTGCTCCATGGCACTCGTCCCCCCCCTCCCCTCAGGAGCACTGTGCAGACAGGTACTGGGTGCCTGGGCCACGCTGATCCAGAAGGAAAGCGTGCACGGAGGTATCGCTCCGGAGAAAGGACTCCCTGCCGCTCACACCAGCTCCAAGAAACTCAGCCCAGCAAGCCCGCTGGCTTTGCAGCAGGCGCTGGAAGCAGCGCAGGGTTGGAGAGGCTGGCCCAGACAGCTTCCCAAGGCAGAGTGCCCTGGGGCACATCAGCGAGCCCAACACATTCACCCCCTGCTCTTCCGCACGGCGGAGCGTCGGCCAAGAAACTGTTCAGTTCAGTGTTGTCCTGGGCACAGAAAATGAAAACCTAGCTGCTCCCTCATTCCAGTGACATACCTGTGGGATCGCCCTGAGGCTCCCAGAGAAGATCCGGCGGAGAATCTGGGTGGCCACTGGCTACGGGCACAGCTGTAATCAAGCATGTTCCCATTAGATGTGGGGATCTGCTTCTTTCTGGGTGACCTGCACTGACTGGAAGGGGCTCAGGTAACGACAGGGGAGCCAGACGTGGGCGGAGGTTTATTGCCGAAGCTGCAGAGGGGCCTGGGTGACCTGTTTGCTGCACCTGGAGGCTTTCAACAGACTGTTCTTTCCAGGCCACGTGCAACAACACCCCTCAAGGCCCAGCGGATGGACAAAGCTACGTAGGGCCCCTCGGGGATTTTTCTCACGGGGAGGTCTCTTCTGTGCACAAAAGCAGCCCACGTGAAAGCAGCGGAGGAAAACAGCGATCACTCATTCACACGTCTCGTGGAGAAGAGAGCCCTGGCCAGGCAGAGGCTGCTGCAGCAGCGCTGCCCTGTCCGGTCGCCATCTGCTCCCCGGGCTGTGGGCTGGGGACGTGTGTCCCCACGGGGACCCGGGTTCGCCCAAGGAGAGGGAGCACTGCAGGGCTGGGGCAGGAACGCTCCTCTTTTCTTTCCTGAGCGGCCAGATCTCGCTCAAGGCCGGCCGGCCCTGAGGCTGAAAGCCGGGATGCCGCCGGGGAGCGGCAGAGCCACCAACCTGGGCCCATCTGGCAGCGAGCAGCCCGGGGAAGAAGTGCTCCCGCGGGCTCTTGCCTGGCTCCTGCAGTGCTGCTCCGGCCCTGGCACACAGCCCGGGGGAAGGCTGCCCCGGGGCAGGGCGGCACAGGGCTGGCTCGAGGGACGGTTGCTCCCCGCCGCCCCCGGCCCCACCGTTCGTTCCCCTGGAAAACGCCCCCACAGCGGCCGCAGCCCCCTGTGCCTCCCCACAGGACATCTGCCTCCCACTGCCCGTGGAGCTGGGCACGGCTCCCCCGGCCCGGCCCGGCCCCGCTGTCACCCCGAGGGGCAGTGGGTGCCGGGCCACGCTGCCAGGGCTGGGTGCTGGCCCTCACCTGCCCGCACGCCTAATCCCCGCGCTCGCCACCGCGCACCGTTGACACGCCGGGCTTGCAGGGCCACCAGGACGAGGAGGAGGAGGCGGGTGGGGGCCATGGCCCCCTGCGCCTGCCCCGCGCCGCTGCCGCTGCCGGCACTGCTGAAGCGGTGCCCGCGGCACAGCCCTCCAGCGCCGGGCGGGGCCCGGCAGGGCTCTGTGACGTCAGAGCCCGGCCTCCGCGCGTCACCGGGCTCCTGGGGCACCGCCCCTGCCCCACCCGGCCCCTCGGGAGGGCGGGGGGCGCCTGTGCCAGCCCATTGCTGCCCCCGCAGCGGGGCCCTGGCAGGCGGGGGACGCTCACCTCATGGCCCTGCCCCGGGGGGGAAGGGTCAGCTTGGAGACCCCCGGAGAAAGATTCCGCCGGGGGCGAGAAAGACGTTCTCTGTGTCTGGGAAAGGCAAAGGCATCCCTCACCGGCAGAGCGAGGAGATGGCCTGCTTGGAGCACAGGCACCCTGCCCACCTCGAAGGGCTACGTTGCCAACTTGGCCAGCAAACTCAAGCTCCGCGGCTCCTTCGCGGAACTCGCCTCCTTCTAATGCTAAAAATCCCGCCGGCAGGTCAGAGAGAGCCTTGTCCGGGGGAAGAGCCTTCCCCTGGCTGGGGCGTGCCACCACACGCGTTGTGGCAGCAGTGGCAGAATTGCACGGGAACTACTGTGAAGAATGTAATATAAAGCATTTTGCTTCAGCCATGTCAGAAACAAGCTCATGTATATAAAAAAAAAAAAAAAAAAAGTTTTACTGGGGACAAAGTCAGTGGAGCAAAGAACACAGCGCTGGGCGCAGTGGCGCAGTCTGCCCCAGCTGGGGCTTCTTTCTGTAGAGCCTCCAGGAGATTTCACTGGTTGAGCGAAAACGGCGGGTTTTCTCCTCTTGACACCTGCCCAGCTCCTTTTTCTTGGTTTCTCCGAGGCTGTCTCTCTCAGTACTTTTCCACTGCCCTCTCGGGTGGTTAGTGTGTGTGTGTGTGGGGGGTGAAGTCCGGGTCCCTCTCCATCAGGAGTTCTTTGCTTAACCCTTTTCTGCTGGCTGCCATTCCTCCCCAGCCCCCCCATCCAGATTCCCCTTTACATGACACCTAACCACAGACCCCACCCCCCCCATCCTCTTGCTTGCCCAACTCCCCACAATGCTCAACCACATGCCTAACTTGTGATCACAAAAGGCTTGCTTAACTGTTATAATTTTAACAATACTGCTTTAATAAGAGTAACTCAATAAAAGGAATTGTTTAATCACTTTTAGCGAAAGCAAAATTCTTCTGTTACTTCTCCCAAACCACCCCTTTTCTTTTTAATACCATATTTTGCCTGAGCTTACTAACACTTGTCTCATTCTTTTCTGAATATCCTATCTTTGTGGGCACCAGCTGATGCAGCCATTTCAGGGTTTACTGGCATAGCTGCTATTTGCATCCCCTCAATAACATGAGATACTAGCCATATAAAGCAGGGTATTAAACATGGTAAAAACAAGCAGCCTGTGACAGCACAAAGGACGTAAAATACAACCTTTTCCCACACTCTGATGTTGGACATAACAATAAATCACTTGTTGCACGGATTTGCCGCTATTAGAGCGAACTAGATCAGGATGATGAGCGGAGGTCCAGTATAACATATACTCCCACCTCTCATGCCCATGGGCATGCAGCCCACAGCTGAGATAAAGGTCTTCTTGGTGACGAGCACAGAGGTTAACCTGGTCTTGCCCTCTACTGTTTTCAAATGTAACAAATCCGTGTTTTAACAGTCAATTCAAGTGCAGCTCCTTTGTAGCCACTTCCTTTGTTTCTAAGCAAACGTTTTTTGGCTCTTTCTGTCAGTGTCCTTCCACCGACTCTCAGGGACATCCCAAATTTCGGGGACTAACCTCCTTTTCCCACAAATCAAGGTTACAGTTCGTGCCCCTTCCCTATACTCACAGTCCCTGTTACAGTTATAACACAATTTTCTCCATATACAATACCACCTGCGGTTACACGTTTCACACTCACACAAAACCCACGCTTCACGAAATTCGTGTATGCACTCGAGACGTGGTATTACCCTAATAGGTTGATTTTCTAGCAATGCCCGATCTAACCCAAAACGCTCATAGTCTATTACCAAACAGCTTTTTCCCTGATATCTTTTGTGGTTCCCCATACAGCGAGTAAGTAAATTTTCAGTGTCACGCCCGAACCCAGTCCCCTCCCGACAAATTTATTTAGTCCTTTTGAGGTAGACTCGTAGTTATCACTTGATGGTACCACAGTCCACTCCCGAGGCTTTTCCACCGGTCCTTTTCCTCGGGAGGCAGGAGTCCCACCCCTTTTCTTTGTTCGGATCGCTGTCTCGGTGGTCAGCAGCACCTGAAATGGACCTTCCCACTCGGGAGTTAAGGATTGATCGTTTCACACTTACATACTGATTTTCTACTTCTGTGCTGACAATATCCCTGTTATTACTCATACATGGTAATCCAAACATCATTTCATAGGGAGAAATTCCCAGGTCCGCTCGTGGCTGAGTACGGATCCTTAATAAGGCCAACGGCAGGCATTTAATCCAAGGCGTCCGAGTCTCGATCATTAACTTAGTCGAGGTTTGTTTTGAAATTTGATTCATTCTTTCTCCTCTTCCAGAACTTTGAGGGTGCCACAGGGTGTGCCACGCCCATTCGATCCCTAAAGCTTCAGATAGTTGTTGTAAGATTTTTGAAGTGAAATGTGTTCCTCTGTCTGAGTCTATTCTTTCTATTAATCCAGAGCTGGGGATAATGTTTTCCAATAACACCTTGGATCCCACGCTTGCCATTGCTCTTGGTGTGGGGATTGCTTCCACCCAATGAGGTAAGTGAGCCACTAATACCAACAGGTACTTCCACCTTTGTATTTGAGGTAGCTCTGTGAAGTCTACCTGGAGGCTCTGAAAAGGCCGTATGGCTAGCTCCCATCTCCCAGCCACCTTTCCTCTCATTACCTTTTTGTTCACTTTTTGACAAATCAGCAGCTAGTTGTTTAGCTGCCGTGTTTATTCCTATATACCCATATTCTGTAAGAAAAAATCACGAAGCGCTTGCATTCCCCAGTGTGTTTACTGATGCATTAATGACAGAAGTTCTCGTGATAATGTTTTGTTTAAAATCTGCTTTCCATGGACTGGTAAAGTCCATTTTCCTTCTGGATATTTTTCAGCCCCTATTTTAAGTATATCCTTCTCCTCTTGTTCTGTGAAATTCCCGACTTAATTCTCATAATCCCCTGGCGTTACTACTGCTGATGACTCTGTAGCTGTTTCTCTGTCTGCTTGATCTGCTAAGTTATTCCCCCTTATTTCCATCGATGCTCCCCTCTGATGCCCTCTCACATGCACAATTGCAATTTCTGAGGGGAGATTCAGGACTTTTAAAACTTCTCTAACCACCTGCTCGTGTACTAGCTCCTTCCCTTTACATTCACAAGCCCACACTTCCCCAAATTTGTGGACTACTCCAAATGCATACTTTGAGTCTGTGTACACTGTCCCTTCCTTATGTTTCAAATATGTCCACGCCTGTTTCAGGGCATAGAGTTCACAGACCTGCGCTGACCACCCAGCAGCTATTTTCCCTTTTTCTAACACTACCATTTTCTGCCCATAGATAACTGCATAACCTGATATTCTTTTCCCTTCTAGGCATTGAGAGGACCCATCAATAAATAGTTTTTCCCCATAGGGCAAAGGTTCATCTAACACTTGTTCTCTTATTTTTGTTTGATAATTAATAAAATCCAAACAGTCATGTTCTGGTTCCTGAACACCCTCCCCATATAGAAATAGGGATTAATATTTTTATTTGTTATTAACGTGAGATCTATCTGATTGTCCTGGTTGGGGCTGGACTAGAGTTCCTGTTGGTTTCAGTAGCTGGAGGAGTGCTGCAGCAAAGAGACCCAGGGGCTCCCCAGGTCCCAGTGCCCTCACCTGTGTGCGGGGGTGGGGGGAGCACAGCTGGAGGGCTGGGCCCCGATTGGCTGATAGTCCATGTCATGTGACATTGTGCTCACTATATAAAGGCAGGAGCGGCTATGGGGGGTTGCCACTTCTGGGAGTGTGGCTGTGGTGGCTTTGTGTTTGGGATTGCTGGCTGGGAGCAGCTGTATGGTACATCACCTGCTGATATTGCTGTCAGCGTGTTATTCTGTTACTGTTATTAAACTGTTTTTATCTCAACCCGTGAGTCTCCCTTTGCCCCTCCGATTCCCTCCCCATTCCCAAGTGGGGGGAGGGTGGGTGAGCGGCTGCGTGGTGTTTAGCTGCTGAGAAGGCTCAAACCACAACAGTCCTTTTTGGCGCCCAACGTGGGACTCGAAGGGTTGAGATAATAACAGATTTGATCTGTGGGTACTATCAAGTTTGTTATAATGATGACTGCGCATCCTGTTACAATGTCATTTGCTTGGCTCCTAAAATCGTGGGTTTTGTTGCTGCAGTTGTGTTATACATCACATTACTTACCATATGTAGTCCCCATGCTGCTGCTTATTACCTGTGGGAATTGGGTTAAGATTTTTGCCTTGCTGTATTATGTAACTCTAATTTATGGCATGATAAAATCTTCTGTCATGGGAGTTGTGGGCACCTACTGGAGTGGGTTAGTAACTATACCCTCCACCTTTTCTCCTCGGAAAGCCCACCCAAGGGGGAGATACCTTTTCCATCTTCCCTTCTCTAAGCTACTTGCAAGTATACTTGAGAATGCTGAGAACTCTGAATATCCATGGAATGCTCATATTAACGTTGTTGTCTTGTTTCTGGAAGCTGTAGTGTTCCTGAATGTGGTTCAGGTTCTGTTTTGGGTTAAGCAACTGTTTCTGAATGCCACCCAGAGCTCTACCCCAGGGTTACAGAGTTATGAGTGGCTGGGGTGTGGGGTAGCATGGGCAAGTACCTAGGGCAGTGGGGACCTCCAATGTTTTGGAACTTCACCCCTGAACAAATGCGGGATCCTGAGAAATTAGTAAAATATTTCGAAAAGGTGTGCTGTCATCCTGACACCTCAAGAGAGACGCAGATCATTGCAACATGCTGG